CGGAAATATTATCAATTTACAGGCGGTAAATATGCTGTATGCAGGAAATTTATGTATTTGGGTACTTTTAATTGCAATTCAAGATGTAAGATTAGTTTATAATTATGATTAGATCTAGAAATGCAGTGGGTCATTTGGTAATGTAATGTTTGGTTGAAATAAAATGTCGTAAATGGTAAAAAAAGAACCAAAACTGTAGGTTCCCTAAACTTGCTGTAAGTAAACGAATGTAAAAATCACACGCCCCTGAAATGCTGTAAGTAGCGTTAAGTTTTTAAATGGGAAGAAGTAAGTATTTGTAAAGAAAAAAATGCAGATTTTCTTTTGCTGTAAGTGCAAAATGTCTGAAATGACTAGATTTTGGTCTACATACAGCATTTAATCTTGCTAAAAATAATATAAGTACGGGCGTTTTCAACGGCGTATGTAATTTTTTTTTCATCGTAGAGACACAGTACCCAGGTCATTCGATGCGGCTTTTTTTTCTGATTCTAATGGCAGGAAAAAGTCACTTTAGGTATTTTGTCTACTTACAGCAAATATGCTTTCCTACGTCGATAAGCTCCTTATATCGTGGCTAAGCACGCTGCACTAGTTTGCACACGTTTTTCGCTAAATTGTGGACTTAACATATATCATTGCTTTCGCTATAAAAATCGGCTATTGAAATTCTGAAATAAATTTAAACAACGTACTTGCTCGACATATTTTTTATATGACGAGTATCCGGTTCGATATATAATTATGTTAATTAGTCTAATTAAGTTATAATGGAATAAGTTAATACGCCAGTCTCATATTTTTCTAATGATTCTAGTCGATAAGTAATTATAAATTACTATTATTTAGACATGTGTTCATGTTATTAATTAAATATTGAAATTGCATTATTATTACTTAGATAGATTTTAGTTGTCAATATTTGGCAAAAATATTCTCTATATTATAGAGCAACTTATAGAGTCTATAAGGTGAAAAATGATATTACTGAATATCATTAACAAATTATATTTTTTAAAATCTGAACTAGTATTGGGGAAAGAGCAAACCACTGGCTATAATTGAGGTACGATTGACCAAGTTAATGTATATTTTATATGATTTTTATAGTCCCACATAATCAATAAACATCAAAATTACGTTAAATTTCAACTAGTGTCACCGTGTTTGCAAATACCTACTAATCACTTGTGTCAAGCTCGGACACTGTTTGTATTGGAATATTCAAATTATACATCCTTCTTCATCTTTGGGTAGTTCGCTGACGATTAGTAAATGTTTAGTTTAATTTAGATTCAAAATTTGTGTTAGGTTCATTCAGCGCATTATATAAATAATCGTTCTTGACATGCAATATCGCAACAAGTAATTTAATCATACCGCAAGTTGACCGCCAAACCATTCATCTGGGTTATCATATTCATAACCTTTCACAAATTTATCATAACCCGGAGATGGGAGTTTATAAAAACGCATTTATTAATTAATTTGATAACACTGCAACATAAATTGATAAAAACAATTATTTTGCATTTTATAGAAAACTTTAACGTACGTTTATAACTAGCACTTTTCCTGGATTGTCTGCAGTATCTTCCTATCATTGGGTTTTCTTAACACAACTGTATCAGACGTTTTCGCATTCCACATCCTACATCTATTTCTTTAACCTGACACAATGTTGGTCTAAGCAGCTTAATGTATAATCATAGATAAAAATCGCTACTAATAATGTTCGCTGGGGTTTAAATGCACGATTCGGAGTTGGGGTACACTTAGGGTCGACACTGACTTCACATCTTATACTGCTTACTTTGGACAAAATACGTACAAATAATAATTATAAGATAAGAAAAAATTTCATTGTGGCTGAGCTAGTTGTCAAGACTGTTAGATTATTGTTATATATAACTCTAAGGTTAAATGTATTTTTTTTTTAAAAACACGTCCAGTAAATCCTCGTCGAGGTATTACGTTGTGTAAAATTACGCTACAAAACAATATATTTTTAAGAAAACAATTAGTTATTAAGAATTCTTGCTTATGTTTTGAAAGACATATTATGTAGAAAGTACAGTTCTAGCACTCGTCTGATTCTCTCGATTCGCCATTGAATACATTATTAAACGACTTCAACAAATTGAAAGTGGTTTTAATAAACATTCAATACTTTCTCTTTGACGAGTGACAAATCGAAAATGCTCAAAATCAAATTTTATCATTACATGATAACGACACCCAGATTCCGGTTCATATCTATCTATTGTTAATGAGCTTGTTAATAACAATTTCTATTACCGAATATAAATTTGTATAAAGCAGATTTCATTAGACTTATTACATTAGATTGATTTACAATAGAAATTATTTACATCATAAAACTGCGCCAATGAATTGACAAGATGCTAACATGCGTTAAAATTGTGTTTTTTATTTTTCTACAAAACACTTGTTTGTTACACCATTAATTTAATTAATCTATTTTTATATTTATAGTTAAATAATAATAAAACAATGATAAAGAAATAACAGATAACGCGCTTTATAAAATAATTAAATAAGGCTAATTCTAATCTAGATCTAGTTATAATTACATCGTTGATAGGTGAACGACCCGAAGTCATTGGACCAAAATTTTTAGAATTTATAAGGATTACAGAGTAGCTTCGTTACCAGTCTCTCTAATGTTAGAATTAAATTAACGATTTACGTGAAACATTAAAAAATCCTTGAATAATTCAAACAAAAATGACACAGTTGATTTTTTAATGTTAGAACTTAGATCATCTTTGACCCTGATTGTGTAAATAACAAATATCTCGGCCATGGCGATGGATATGTCTATTTAGGATTGCCAGAGATTACATAGTGCACAAGTATGTGCGTATGGACAATTGTAGTCATAGACTCTCTATTTTATCCTTATTTATTACTAGCTTCCCCCGCGAACTTCGTTTCTCCTTATTGTGATTTTACTTAGCCTACCTTTTAAGTACCTACCAACAAGGAACATTTTGCTATGTTACCCCGAAGACTGATCGATTTCCCGGAATAAAAACTTTTTAGGTTTTTCCGTGAATTTTTCTCTACATAAATTTCTGAGTTCAAGTCATAAGTTTCAAATTAACGAATAAAAAATAGGGGTTGATCGTAGAGGGGTGAAAATTGTATGTATTTTTATATGTTGTATCATAAAAAAATATTTTATCCAAGAAATAAAAAAGAAATTTTGGGATGGACATCCCTTATCACTTAAGGGTTTGAAAGATAGATAGTAGCCGATTCTCAGACTTACTGAATATGCATAAAAAATTTATAAGAATCTGTCGAGCCGTTTCGGAGGAGTATGGGAACGAACATAGTGACACGAGAATTTTATATATTAGATGACTTTCATACTCCGATGGAACGTATGACCGTCACGGTATATAAAAGCCCATCCACACGCTTGACAAACAATGGCAAACAGCTAACAGCAAACAGCAAACACGAACGTGTGGATGGGTGTTTGTCGTTGTTTGCCTGTTTGTGTTCGTGTTGGGCAGTGTTTGGCATCGGTGTCGGTTTATCTTGCCAGATCAAAGGATGTTTGGCAAACAGTTTGCTACGTATCCACACGTTTGGCAGCGATCAGTATGCGCGCGACCTTGCGGGAGGCGGACGTATTTACTTGCTACACTTTCGTTGGCGCGCAAAGCGTAAAAAATGTCTGATTGGAGCACCTACGATTCTGACATTTTTAAGTAACTTTTAAGTAAAATTAAAAAAAACACGGCAAAGTAAAGCTCAAATAATAGGTCTAAAGCCTTGTACGCTTTATTTTAATCATCCACCATCGTCTTTGCTTTCTTCTTTTTTTCCTTTTTTCTTTCTCTTGCTTTAATTTATAATAAAAATATGTCAACCCGAAAGTAATAGCTGCAACAAGCTCGTCGTCCGCCATGTTTGCCGATTCGGAATGTTATGAACGTTCGCCAAGCATGTGGATCGCTGTTTGTGTTGGGTGATTGTGGTTGGTGTTTGGGACTTCGTTTGCTTTTTGCGGTGTTTGTGACAAACAGCCAGCGTGTGGATGCCCCATAACGGTAGCAAGCTTTACGTGCTCGTCTGACACTCAAGGGCGCTCAAAGTCATTGCCAATTTTTTAACATAAGTCTACAATTAATACTGAATGCTGTCTCCGATATGTATGTTCGCAGAGTGAATTCACAGTAGCGATATTGTGTATATTATTTGTTTAATATTATATATGTACTTTATTATATTTTATTTAAATGTTTCTCGACATTATCGTATTGGCATAGTCTGTAAGGATAATGTATGTATTTCTGTAATAAATAAATAAATAAATTTATTTATTTTCGGTTCCACTCAGGAATCAAGACCTCGTGATTTGCATCCGAACATATTAAGAATTTGTGTGAACTAGTCAGGATATATATATTCAAATACATACTTACACTGAATTTAAAAAATATTACTAAAAGAGAATGATTTCCCCGTCTTCATTCGTGTTAATCTTTTTTTTTCTTACACGCTATGTTCACGACGTCCAGTATTTACCCACTTAACCTTGAAACGTCGACACTAAGCCAAAGACAATTAACTTTAAACCTACATAAGATATATTTGAACTTTTCTCATTGGTCGTAAAACAGTAGCTACCATTTTAACTTAGTACTTACGAATGCGTTAATTTGAACGTGCATATATTTTATAGTCCAGTAATTACATATATTTCTTATCTTATCTTTAAACCACTCACGAAATATGTCGACATCGTTACAAATGTTTCTGTGGCTTTAAAGAATATGTTTACTATGCCCACTTTCAATTTCCCAGTTTATCCATGTAAATAATAAATAAATTTAAATTTAAACTCGCCATCATAAAAATCTAGACACAATAATAAATGACAATTATAGACTTATCAAGCATCAAAGTAATATTTATACCACAGTCACGAATCATTATTCAAGGTGTGTGCACGTTTACTTAATATGGCACTACCAATATTGCATATTTTTGCTGCTGTATTAAATTCTTATATATTGTGGTATGATCAAGTGTATGTGAATGTTCCCTTTGAAAAGGGTATGGACAGCTATCCGTTTAGAAGTCGCGTTCTCTTCCTGACTCTTTGGAATTTTGTGAGTACTTTGATTTTAATTGATATTAAGCAAAAAAAATAAAAAAGTAACCATTATATACCTAGTCGAAATTTTAAGAAGAGTTATTTAGGCATTTTACGTTTGCATTTAGTTCTCGATACATTCAAAAACCAACCTTTTTGGAGGTTCTTATGGTGGGTATCTATGCTATTAACCGGTTTTTGTAAACCTTGGTGACCCCACTAAACAAAATTATAGAGTATTAGTGCTCAAAAATCGGTAACGATTCGATAACGATGCGCCCAAATTTGGGGTTGCTGGGGTGGTGAGGAAGGGGGAGGGTGTAGTAATCACCCCCTTCAAATTTTGCGCGCCGGAAACATAAATTTTTTTTTAAAAATCTCACCTATTTATCTACTCCAACTCGGCTTCTTGGTCGCCTTCGGCGACCAAATATACATATACTAACCTAACCTAACCGATCTAAATAATATTAGTTTTTGGACAGCTCCGATCTAAATAATAATTGTTTATTCAGCCCTCGGCAACTCGGCTTCTTGGTCGCCTTCGGCGACCAAATATTCATATACTAACCTAACCTAACCGATCTAAATAATATTTGTTTTTTTGGACAGCTCCGATCTAAATAATAATTGTTTATTCAGCCCTCGGCAACTCGGCTTCTTGGTCGCCTTCGGCGACCAAATATTCATATACTAACCTAACCTAACCGATCTAAATAATATTTGTTTTTTGGACAGCTCCGATCTAAATAATAATTGTTTATTCAGCCCTCGGCAACTCGGCTTCTTGGTCGCCTTCGGCGACCAAATATTCATATACTAACCTAACCTAACCGATCTAAATAATATTTGTTTTTTTGGACAGCTCCGGCGCTACGGGAAATGCAGCCCCTCCACCCTTGCGTACCAAAGCACAGGCAGTTTATTCAACCCTTCGCAACCTCGGCTTTTTGGTCGCCTTTGGCGACCAGCCTCAGCCGCTACAGCTTTCACAATGCCTGTGCTTTGTTACAGCGGGTGGGGGCTGCTTTTCCTCCGCGCCTCCGATTATTTATATACACTCTAGGGGTAAGGCAGACAAGACCACGTGGATAGTGGGGTGCTCTGATTCGGTTTTGGGTACTTTTTGAATAATTTAAAAATTTTCGGAACCATACACTAATTGAAACATGAAGTTAATGTAATGTAAGTACATTTGACAAGTAATGATTAAATTAGGTTCAACTATAAAATTAACAAATGAGAAAATAATCGATCCGATTAATTTACCGAGAATGTCACATCACTTATAACCAACAGAAAACGAGAATGACACATCTCTTATAACCAATAGAAAAGTAGATAATGGTGGATTGTTTACAAATTTCAATACATTTCACAAAACTTTAAAAAAATTTTAAAAATACTTTGACGCATTTCCGGCAGCTAAAATTACTTGGAGGTGTTCCAATCAAGGTCCCCGAGGACTCCTGCATAATCAGTATCATCAGATTCCAACGCACTATTATCGCACCCAACCCAATTACATTATCTTTTTGTATTAACCTGATTATTACATTACATAACCAAGGTAAATTAAATGATATAGACTTTTTTAGAACAGGGGGTAAACGGCAGAACGCTCATCTGATGTTAAGTGATACCGCCGCCCATAAACACTCTCAATTCCATAGAGCTCACGAGTAATTTGCCAGCTTTTTAAAGAATTGGTACTATCTTTGCTTGAAGGAACTTAAGTCGAATTGGTTCGGAAAAACTTCAGTGAAAGAAACTGTCCAAACTATAGGTATAAACTAATCAATTAAAGGATTCTTAGGTAGATTCCTTATACTAAGTTATTACTTCAGCCTTCATAATCAAACTCTGAACTACTGTGCGTTAACTAAGCTACAATGGACGGAGACAACAATTACAAATAATTTGTCTTAATTCCAGGTACTTCATGCTGTTTACTACTGGATAGCTTTTGCTAACGACATCTTTGGTACAAACGATGCATCACCGCGTCACCCGCCATTAATACGAAAAATAAAAGACGTGATATTCACGTTAGTCTTTCCTCTTGGTGTTTACGTATCTGTTGCTTTCTGGGGTGTATATGCAGTTGACAAGGACCTTATATTCCCCGAACCCGTAGAAAAAGCTTACCCACCATGGATAAACCACCCCCTACACACACTTGTGTCCGTTTTTATAACTATCGAAATGTTAACATCAAATATTACATACCCCAGACGAAAGCTCGGTTTAGCAATAATGAATGTCTTTATGTTCTCGTATTTGGTGTTTTTGTTTGTAGTTTATAGTCAAACGGGTAAGTGGGTGTACCCGGTGTTAACACACCTCAATTGGCCTCTTAGAATAAGCTTTTGTCTTGGTAGTGTTGCCATAGGTCATCTATTTTATTTCTTAGGAGAAAGTTTAAACAGACATTTAAATCCGTCTGCTAAAGTCAAAGGCAAGAAGTCACGATAAGGCACGTATTTTTTTTACTAGTAAATGTGTTTAATGTTTGAATAAAATAACTTATTTTTGTACACACTGTCGTTTTATTACTTTATGTTTTAAGGAAATATGCAGTTAACATTTGATTTTTAGTTAACACTTTACTTTTAACCTGTACTTATCATATTCGTATATATTACAAAAGAGCACTTTCGATTTCCACGTAACTACATTTATCGCTTACACATGTTTCTGAACTTTTGCTAGCTCTATAATGGAAGGCGTTATTATTTATCGATATAATAAGTAAGCACTAAGCAGTGTTGTCCTAGTGGTTTCAGCGTGCAACTCTCATCCCTGAGGTCGTAGGTGCGATCTCCAGCTGTGTATCAATGAACTTTATGTTTATGTGCTCATTTAACATTCGCTCGAAATGTGAAGAAAAACTCAGAGAATAAACCCACATGTCTTAGCCCCAAAAAGTCGACAGTGCGTGTCATACACAGAAGGCTGTCAAATGATCCCGAAACCTAAAAGGTTTTTATAATAATTTTCTTATCTCAATTGATTGTAACCAATTTTTTAAAATATTTATTATGATTGATTAATTGCACCGATTGTTTATTACAAATACTTGGATAAAAAAATACCTCAAAATACTAAAAGAACGTAACCAAGTTCTTTGATTTAAAGGTAAGTTGTAACTGAAATAATGCTTTTGCTGAGTACTTCAGTTGCAAAATATTTGAACTATTAAAGAAAATAATGTCAAACAAGTAAATCATGGTTACATTAGAAAACCACTGTGGTGTATAATTGTAACAAAGCAGTCTTGTTTAGGAGCCCAACAAATGCATATGAAAGTAGTTTTCAACTTACTTTTTATGTTGGTTAACGTTAGGCTATCTAATAACTGACTGGGTCGTTCATTTATTAGCCATCCAATTCCATTTTTTTATATGCTATCAGGGTTAATTATGCAACCTCAGAGTCATGCCAGAATAATATAGTTAAGCTTCAGTAGAGCCGAAATCCAAATGACTAGCACAATTTTTATGTATTTTAAAAGCTTATATCTGGATAGTTATACTATCTCTGAATTCGTAGATCGGGAGATTTTAATATAAAGGAAGGAGCCCCTAAATCCAAAAAAAAGCCTTGGCCAAACACAGTCCGTCGTTTTGTCGTCGGGAATAAAAAAACGTCTCATCTTAGATGTGTTCGGATTTATTAGTCCATGGAGTTTGTGATATCTTAAACAGGTCGCTAATGTGTATAGCTTTCTTACTGAGTAGATATGTGATATTGTAAAACTTTAGCTAACACGAAGTAAACTCAATAAAATTTCTAAAATTAATGCAAGTTCTTATCCAACTGGGTTAGTCTGTTATATTTGTAAGATTCCTTCAAAATGTTTATTTACAGTTTTCTAACAATTATAAACAGTATAATAAGCGGTTGTGAGAGTCTAAGTGCGGAAACTGAGCCCACCAACCAAGCGGTCGATTAGCCACAAAGTATTAAAAAAAATACGGTTACAACCAAAATCCTGTACTTTGGACTTCGTCTTCAACTATCTCTAATTTCATATTATTATACTAAATGCCTTTGTGATTAAAGCGATAAGTTAATTTGGCTTAGGTAATGATAGTTACCTATTATATTAGGTTCACAATGTACCTAATAAGTCTCGTGTGGAGAAAGGATGGTGTACTGTTCCTACAACCGAAAGGGAGGATCCTCGACCATTCTAACCTTTGACCGGCGGGCCTGAAGGCCCAAGTGGTTGGGCCATCGGGGCATGGCCAGTAGCTAAAGTCGAGACTCGAGAAGTTGTATAGATCTTTAGCGGACGGAATGACTACGTTAGCGCGTTTCAAGGTCATCGCAGTGATTTGTAAGCGCAGAGGCTCGCTTTGACGCTTGTTATTGTTCGTTCATCTTTATAGGCAAGTTGTTGAGCTTCGTACTGTGCATGTGTTCGGCATCCTCTTAATCTCCTCTTAAGAGAGAATGAGAGCAATGCATGAAACAATTCATTACCCCGACGATCTAAACGATCTTAAGGCCGTTAGGATTTACATTCCATATTTTATTACCCGAAACTCTAAAGGTGCCCATAGTTCACTAGGCATTCTACCAAGGGCATACAACATTGTGCATGTACCAAGCGAGTTATCATTCGGTAAGGTTCAGAATCAACTTAAAATAAATCAGTGGCGCTACAACCTTTTTAGGTCTGGGCCTCAGATTTCTGTATCTGTTTCATTAACATTTGTTTTAATAGACAAGCAGGTGATCAGCCTCCTGTGCCTGACGCACGCCGTCGAATTTTCGGGTCTAAGGTAAGCCGGTTTCCTCACGATGTTTTCCTTCACCGTTCGAGCGAATGTTAAATGCGCACATAAAAAGAAAGTAGATTGGTGCACAGCCGGGGATCGAACCTACTACCTCAGGGATGAGAGTCGCAAGCTGAAGCCACTAGACCAATACTGCTCCGAATCAAAAAAACCACTTACCCTTGATGCCCTTATAACATGCAATACAATATTAAAACATTCCCTTTTATTTCAAATAAAAACTAAAACTATATCAGTTATAGGTCAAGCTTTTATGATATAGTTGTTAGGTGAATGACCCAATTATGTGTCGAAAAAGACACATTGATGTATATTTATCGGTAGATCATAGAAAATATATTACAAAGAGTATAGTTTATATAAAACGTTTTATAATTGTGTAATATAGATGCAATGAGGAGGAACATCATGTAAGGCTAATATATGGATATTTACGAATATCTTTTATCCAAATATATAATACTCGGTCCACGGACGGAGAATATATACTTAAAAAAACATAAGCTATTCTCTTTCGGTTCTTTAAATCGGTCATATACAGGGTGCATTCTATAAAAAATATCAAAAAACCAACTGAAAGTATATTTGTCTCATCATGTCTAGACTGTAAATACATGCAACCATTATAATTATTTTTAATGAATTGACTATCCTAATAAGCCTTCATAAGAAATATATAGACTTTTAATCATTGAACATAGAATAAAACATAATATTTTTCAGTTAGTGATTACAGATTGAAATTACTAGATTTTTTGTTACACATATTATTCATTAGCATCATAAAGAAAGAGGTTCTCAATTGGTCTGAATCTTTGTTATGTTTATTTATCACTATTTAGACACGTGCACCGATTTAAAAAATATCTGTTTATTGAAAGGACTTCTCAATCATGATCATTAGAGCCTAGAGGAACCTAAAAAAATAATGATGTATTACTTTATCGGTATTGATACCTTACCTAGACGAAAAATAGAAAGAAGATATCTTCAATACTACCAGTTTAAACATCCCTAATTAAGCAACTATAAATTGTTTTGAAGTCCAGATAAAACGCAACTGTAATCTTTAATGCAGCTCGAGAAATTTTTGGTCGAGGAAAGATTAATCAATTAAAATAATTATTATTAAATGACGATTATAAATAGCGGGTTTTAGTCGACCCACAGTCACAAATTATAATTCGAAGTGCGTGCACGCTCGCTATAGTAATATGGCATTACCATTATTACATATTTTTTCTGCTGTATTAAATTCTTATATTTTGTGGTATGATCAAGTATATGTGAATGTATTCCATGGAAATTCACTGGACACCTATCCCTTTAAAAGTCGTATTCTTTTCTTAACTCTGTGGAATTTTGTAAGTATCACAATAAATAATTATATTGACCGGTAGTTAAATTTTAAAGATTATATTTATTATAATTACAGTAATTATATTAAATGCTTAGTTATTGTCATAAAGATTTTAGTTTATATACAGCATATGAAAAGGTACTGAGTTTTTTATGATATTATACTAACTTAATTATGACTGATATTATTTTAACTTTATTTATTAACTTACAAAAAAGACTGATCTTGTGGCTTATTAAACACGTATATATGAGCCACCGGAGTCACTTTTTAACGTGTTTAAACTTTTTTTTAGTTAAGTAACTTAAACTCTTTACACTACTCAAAAACATAATTTTTCTAGGTTTCTTCCTTTTTTCGTTAATCGGTTTTTATAACTTTGTATTATTAGCATTATTAAAACGAAATTATTAACAAATCTTAAATTCAAACTATATACAGTTTGAATTTATATATTTATTATATTATATAGTTTTTATAATATTTGTTTAGAATTAATTCGCTAATAATAATAATCTAACCCTTTACGTATTATTGGTCTCAAACTTTTCATTCATATATCTTTCTTTTGGCATTTGTTCGTGATCAGTTTTCTATACCCACGTCGTATTTTCGAGTTTATGTATAAAATTTAGACTTTACTTGCGCTTAAGTTAAGCAACTTGGAAACCCTAAGAAACGTTTAATTTAAATTACATTTATTTGATAAACAAGTAGACGGTACATGCAAATGTTCAAGTACTCCTTATCTAATCTAGCTAGGACCATATATCAATGTGCTTTAGGGATATATTAAATTTGATCAAAATTGCGCGATATAACTTTTAAGCTCATAGCGAAGGTTAGGGTGTAAATTACGTACAACACATTTAAATAAACATTTTTTTATTAAATATAAATATTAAACATTACTTAGATTAATAAATTCATGGTCGGTGGGACGAAATTGCTCGAAACGTCTATTTATGTAAAGAACATGAAATATTCGCTTTTATAGTGATACAAAAATAATGCTTTCTATTATTCATACACTAACTATAAGCCTGTTTTTGTTAGAGAATATTTTTATGTTTATGTATTTAACTTCAAATTGGCAAGATAGTGAACATAGTCACAAAGTCATAAAGTGTTTAATATGTACCTGTCAAGTGGTAGGTAGGTCTACACCAGACTTAAAATTTTTGTTGGGATTTCTATTTTTGTAGACAAAATAAGGCTTTGCTCAATAGCCCTCTATAAACGAAAACTAAGGTCTTTGGGTATATTAATTATTACATAAATACAAAAAATAATATTTCCTGTATAACATTAGTATACATTACAAGTCATATAATATTACCTAATGTATTTATAATTATGAAATCCAAGGGCATATATGTAGACAAGAAACTAAACTTTCTGAATATTTCGAATTTTTTTTACTCCGAAAATTTTATTGCACAGTTCACGTTGATATAATATACCTAATAATCAACTCCAATTTAGTATAGAAATCTAATTTGTCTTATAGCTAAACTTAAAAATACTACTTATATTGGTATTTGGTACACATAACATTAAACACAACTATAATTTAAATTGCGTCATTAATATTTTTATCAAATAATTAGTAAAGTCCCTTTAAGCAACTGGAGTAATTTTTATTTTATGGATATTTTTTCCCTAAAGACAAGACGTGTACATGATGGATGGATCACATCTGCAGTGAATCTAAGTAGTACACAAAATAATTAGTTATTTATTTTACAGGTACTTCACGGAGTTTACCATTGGGTAGCCTTAGCCAATGATGTTTTTGGCACAGACGAAGCATCACCTCGTAATCCGCCTTTAATACGAAAATTAAAAGATTTGTTATTTACTTTAGCTTTTCCGCTGGGTGTCTATGTGTCTATTGCTTTCTGGAGTGTATACGCCGTTGACAAGGAACTTATTTTTCCCGAACGCGTAGAAAAAGCTTATCCACCATGGATAAACCACCCCTTACATACATTTGTGTCTGTTTTTATAATATTAGAAATGTTAACGTCTAATGTAACCTACCCAAGAAGGATGGTCGGTTTAGCCATGATAAATATCTTTATGTTCTCGTATTTAGGGTTTTTGTTTGTAGTTTATGGTCGAACCGGTGAATGGGTGTACCCTGTATTAGCGTACTTCAATTGGCCTCTCAGAATAAGCTTTTGTTTAGGCAGTGTTGTAATAGGTCACCTATTTTATTTCGTAGGCGAAAGTTTAAACAAAAGATTTAATCCGTCCCCGAAAGTTAAAGGCAACGAGAAGTCACGATAAGCCACTAATTTATTAAGACTTGTAGTCGAAACAAATTAAATAATAAAGTGATTATTTTTATATTGCACTGCTGTTTTATTAATGTGACTTTTAAATTGACAAGGTACCAAATTGTAAGGTGTATGTATGAATTGAATAAATAAATAAATGTTTGTGTGTGAATTGAATAAACTAGACACTGGCCATTAGTTTAGTTTACGTAAACTATGATTATGCGGAAAAGATTTTCGGTTATAATAATTGTTATTATGTTTATGAAAATCACATAGTATTAACTGAAATTGACACAAAAACCAAGAGTAAAATGTTAAATTCGTTATCACGGTCACACTTCGTCACATATTTCATATTTAATAACTATGGATTAGGCTACAGCATGCTACCCTCATTCCTAAGGTCTTAGGTTTGAACCCCGGCTGTGCACCAATGGACTTCCTGTCTATGTGCGCAACTTCCACTCGCTGGTACGGTAAAAACTTCCTGAGGATACTACAAATCAACTACTAGTGTATGATATAAAATAGATAACAAAAACGGATCCAATGTGAGGTGAAGACCCATTTAGGGTTGTACCGCCACTGGATTTGGATATAACAGCTTGCCAACGCTCGGCACACTGATACATTGGTACAAGAACAATAGAATATTTTTTAATGTGACAAGCACTTATAGGCAAACATAACATACACGAAGAGATAATAAAAAAATAAAACAAAACAATTATATTATAAAAACTAAACGAAAATCGATTTTAAAGTATGCGGGGAGCCACTATGGATATCCAGACCTAGCTCGTTTATCAATCTGAATATCGGTAAGTTTTGGCCAAAGTAGGTTCATCGGAAAGGATGGACAAATGGAATGATGGGATGCCTAGGTTATCTAGAGGGTACACGAAATTTAAACGAATTTGTTAAAGATACATTACATTATTTTATAATTTTTAAAACAATTCGTTGCATTGGGGTTGCAGGGGACCTCGCAGTAGAATAACCCATTCTATAAAACATCTCCTGTTGTTTTACGAAATTAGTTGAAAAGAACGTCTACTATGGTGGCAGGTGGCGTTTAGTTTAAACTTTATTTGGGTTAAAATTATTTTCCTCAATAAAAGTCTTAGCACAGCGCCATCTATTCCAGACACTTCAAAAGCTTGGTATCAGGCGTATGTTTGTATATCGTACTATCAACCGATACAACAACAGTGTCGTCTGTCGAAGACAAGAAAAGATCGGTGCTGTTAGAACTACAAAGGCTGTTATGCTGTTAAAGCCAGAATATTTTGTCGAAACCCCATTAGGAAGCAAAAAATCTTATCGCGAGTAATGAAGGTTCCCTCTAGGCCTCTGTCGCGTATTATACATCCTGAAGCTCGGTGCTTATCGTCGATATACAGGACATGTCCTAAATCAATCTTTTTCAAATAATTAAAGAGAGTGCATCGATCAAAACGCCTTCTGTCGCGATACGCAGATAAATAGCACAGAAATATCCTCTTTCCCGATTGAAGAACACTACAATAGGCAAAATGATAAAGTGTACGCTCACAGTTCTAAAGAAGCTGCTCAAGTGGTCGGAAAGGTTCAATATGGTCATCATCATGCGTCAGTAATGGTTTGGTGGGGCGTGTCTTATCAAGGAGTCACAAAACTATGTTTTTGTGAAAAAGGAGGGAAAACTTCAGCCAAAGTGTATCAAGATACAGTCTTGGATCATGCTGTGAAACCTCTCAGCAATACACTTTTTAAAAATATACCGTGGAATTTCCTGCAGGGTTCTGCACCTACTCACAAGGCACGAACTACCCAAGCCTGGCTTGAAACTCGGACGTTCCGGACTTTATAAGAGCTGAAGACCACCCCAGACCTCAAATTATGGTCAGTTTCTAAACGACACGGCGACATTGAGTCTCTTAAAAAGTTTTTAGAGCAAGCAGAGGCGAAATTTCCCTTACGGTGCGTAAATCTATAGATTTGTGGCCAAACAGATTAAAGGGTTCTGTAAAAGCCAAAGGTGGCTATTTTAAATAGATTTTTTTTTATTTTTTGCTGAGACTTCAATAAGTATGTAGGTATAAATTTGACTAGGTATAACTTAGTTTGATGTTAATTCTACGGTAGTTTGGTTAGCTAATTAGTTGGTGGCCAATAAGAAACGGCTATACGAAATAAGAAATACGGCGTGTTTCTATTGTATAAATATTAGGAAACATGTTATTTTGTATTATTGGGATTGGAATTTTGATGAATTAATAAATAAAAATAAATTAAATAAAAATGAAAGTCATACTTTATTTTAATCAACTATATTTTAACTTCTGACTCAAATTCTTTAATTAAAAATGTTATTTCTTCATCTGTTTTTCGTCTTCTATTTTTTTTCTTTCCCATACTACAATCTTTAAATTTCAAATTTAATTCATTTATTAATCTACATATTATCATGTTTAAACTTTTGTAGAAGCTAAGTACACTGGTTGCACCAAATAAATATTTCTGCAAATATAACATTGGATCCCTCTCCTTTTCAAGTTTCAAAGCCATATTGTAAATGAATGTACCATTATAACTTTTTGAATAGATTGTACTTTCGAATGGGCTACCACATAGAGTGTTTAAAGAGTTTATTGCATAAAGGCAACACTGGAACTGAGCAAAGGTATGTATTCTCCTGGAATTATAACTTTTAGGCTTTTTTCTTATAGTTTCATCTATTTCAAAGTTTTTTAATAGAATGGCTGCGGCAACTATACAATCATCATATTGAACTTTATTTTTATTCATTTGTAGGTCATCAGATATTTCCATTACAGATCTCTCTTTTAGTTCCAATATTTTATTAGAGAACTTATTATTAAAGTGAAAGTAACTTCTTGTACTGCCAACTTTTTCATCAATTGCATCTAAATATGTGAAACACATAATTAAGCTTTGTAGTTGGCCTACTGAAACATCACAGTTAGAAACCCACCATAAAAGCGCTAGTCCAAAAAGTTGAAAGTTTGAGGGAAGCAGGTTCAAAACTTCAAAGTTCAATTGAGGAAGTTTTTCTTTAAAAAAATGATAGAAATATGCATGCAGCTGGGATCCAATTAATTGTGAAATTGGTAAGATTATTGGTTTAGAAACTGCATACTCTTTTCCAACAAATATCCTTTTGTAATTGCAATCTTTCTCTCTACTAACATATACAAAATGTTCTTGTTCAAAGTCTGTTAGTATATCAAATGCATATCTTATTATTGGTAGAATACAGTAATGGGCATCATCTTGCAAATAATCCTCAGCTTGAGGAGAACAGAAATGCAAATGATGAGTATATAAATTGATAAATGAATGTGGTATAGTTTTATGTCGAATGCCTTCAGCAATCCATTCTGGTAGGCTTTCTTCAATATCAGAACCACTATTTGACTCTTTATCAGATTCATCATTACTTGACAAACTTCTATTCTCATCTGATTGGTCGTCAATATCATCATCATTCATTTCTTCAGGCATTTTTATGTCAATGATATCATCAATACTGTCATTTGACAAATTGAAATATTTCAGTGATTTACATTCTTTTTTATTGTAGCCATTAATACTTTTCATAATAATAGCAAAGACTTTATTTTTTTGGTGATTTTTAAGCCTACCAATTATTTTTGTTATAGCAGACTCCAATGTCTCATTTTGAAGCCATAGAAACAACCCATGTATGCAGCGCTGTTGTTCATTTTTTGATTTTTTACCTTTAGGGGTTTTTAACTGAGAAAAGAATTTACAAAACACTTTTTTTTCAACAAAGTCATTTCCTAATAAAGTTGCTAATAATGGTAATAGTTCCTTTTCAATACCCCCAAAATGTTTAGTTAAATATTCAACTTTGTATATCCTACACTCCATTGCAAAGACTTTCTTTTCATCGTAAATAATTTGCTTTGGTTTTATCTCTAGAGTGTTGAATGGGATGTAGACAACATTATATATAAAGAAATCAGAATCATAACTTAGTACAGGGCAGCTTAAATACCTAGCTAAGGCAGCAATTTCATCATCTGCCTCAAATTCACATATTGTATACATCACAGTCAACTCTTTTAATACTTCCTTGAAAACATCCCGCAATAGCAGAGGAAATATTTGAAGAGATCCTTGTGTGACTGGATCGAGGCGGGAAGCACCATAGATCTTTGAACGAAGTCTACTGTGTGCCGTTCTTAGCTTTCTTTTTTCATAGCTACCATCAAATATTACATATGGAGTAACCTTACATTTCTTTAGATTCTTAAAAAATGTCTTAACGTAAGCAGCAAATTTATCGTAGTCACCACCAAAAGCGGAAAAGCAGTTGAGTGATCTGTACAATTGAGCACAAAGGCTATGTCCATCTATTACTAAGTTAGTATTGTGTAGATCATAATCCTTCATAAAAATATTTGAATTATAATTTAAATATGTAGTTAATCCTCGAACTCCCATTGTATCGGGTATCCCAAAACTGCAACAATCCGTTGACACTAATATTAATTATTGAAAACTTTTTGTTATTTAGCTAAATCCATTGTTATTCTTTACTGTGTATGTTGTATCAAATATCAATTAACCATTTGAAATTATAACCTCAACATTAGATCACAAATAAATAGACCATACATTTTAATATTTAAAGTTTAAACCACAGATCAAGTAGAGCATAGGTTATTCATTTGTGATCCGTCATCCGTATGTGATCATCGATGTCAACTTATTAAGATGTCTTATTTTAATGTAGTCTCATCTGGGATTGCTTGATTTTTCGTGCCTATACGCTATATATAGTATATACCCTATACTATTTCCGCAAAGACAAATTAAAGTAATAGACCAGCAATATTCGTATAAAAATATATACTAAAATTTCTGGCTATGGTCTTACTAATAAGCAGAAATCCATGATACCATTTTTTTTTTCCTTTATGGCTCTGGCACGGTTTGTGCATTAGCCAGCGTCATGTATAAGATTTTTATAATTAGCTGTTTTAATTATTTACAGATGATATCATTTAATCTAAAGAGAAATTCAAGATTCAATTATTGCGATTTTTTATGCAAGAGCAACACCATAAATTAATATGATATTCTCTTGCATCTTAAGATAATGCCACAGACCTCAGAGATAATCTAATATGTCATAGATAGGCAAATGACAGAATTAGCTGCATGGTTTCGACCATTACAAACATAAACACTACGACACATAAGAAGTTTAGATTTCTTCCCAAACTTAGGGAGTATTTAATTAAGTAGGATTTTTATAGTTCCTTACTACTAAAAGAAAAAATATATACGTATTAAATTTTGATCTCATTTTGAATTCATTCTTTGGGCTGTATTTCAACTCTGAATCTTATTTTATGTATCTTAATTTAAATGTTGCTTAAATCATATAATGTATTTCAAAAATTAATAACTTTAAAAATACCTAACCAGACCAGAACATATTTCATATGTGTAATATTTATTAAAAGAAATCATAATAATTACATTATGATTAACTCAATAACTAAATAAATCATTCATAAATAATGTCCTAATAAAAGGTAATGTTTGCTTTTTGTACTACTAAACCATTTGAAAATAAAAACCCTAGACGCGGTAAAATATTTTTTTTTACTCTTTGGTTAGCCGTAATTGGTAAGTTGTAAGTGGTCACACTAGATGTACATGTACATACTAACATTATACATACATTGTAGCTTTCTGCTTTGTAAATTGTACATGTGGTTCAAGCATTGAGCTTTGAATTAGTTTTCGCACTCACTTAACATTTGGAATAAATATTGCTTAGCAGCAAAATAATAACGGATCAAACTTATTTATAAAGTTAAAGGTACACGTATTTGCATCATGCGTATAATCGAAGCATAATTAATGACAGTACATAAACAATGTTTTCTCTTATTTAGATTTCACGTTACGTTTTGCTTCCAGTATTCAACCATGACTGAAGAAAAAGAAGTACCGACTGAAAGTAATGGGCAAGAAAACAATCAGAGCGAGGGAAGTGAAGAGATTACAGAACTTGAAAATGCTATAATTCGTCAAGTGGAATATTACTTTGGTTAGATATTTGTTTGCCAACACGTGTTTGTATTTGGCCGTTAAATCTTTGATCTTATGATTTTTTTCACAAAGCTGGGTTGATTTTCGATTAAACCCTAACATTAATCGATTTGGGTATTGCAATCTTTATTTCAGATAGGTTATATTTCTAAAAAGCTTTGTTTAGTAGATGTTACGCTGGTTGAGATTTTATTCAAATGCTTTGAATATCATACTTATCTGCACATCAAATTAAAAAATCAAAGATATAATTATTTTAATGGAGCATCCACCCGGCCACTTTATAGTTTAAATCTTAGATTTTGTTGCATTATAATATACACAAAAAAGTACATTTACTATTAGTGAGATCCAATCCAATTCAAATACAGGATTATTATTGATTTTTAATGCTTCAGCTTCATGCATAACATGACTTTTTGAATCTCTCATGGGCATTACACACAACACACAATGGTCACAACACATTTGGTAACAAGTTTCAAATTTCATAAAAGTTTAAGATTGTAAGAAAGATCAGTTATGTCAGAAATAATGACAAAAGGATGCTAGAAGATAATTTTTTTAATTTTTTTTTAAACATTATACACATAAAAATATGCTATTGCAATCCAATTTTTATAATCATTAAAATATGTATTTCAGGTGATTCAAATTTGCCAAGAGATAAATTTCTTCGAGATCAAGTACTGCTTGATGATGGATGGATACCCTTAGATATACTCCTAAAGTTCAATCGTCTGGCTAAGCTGTCGGAGGATCATGACATTATTGTTAATGCCCTTGGTAAATCAAGATCCGGCCTGTTGGAGGTATGCAGACATTTAATAACATTAAATCACTTTGCTTCACACACTTTACGGCTATAGCCACATTATCAAAATCAGTTCTCTCTCTGAGTGAATTGTCTCTGAACCTGGATTTTTATTTATTTTATTTATCCTCTCTTTTCTCTCATTTTTATTTATCTTGATCTCAGATTTTATATATCTTGATATTTTTTTTTCTACTAGGCGTAGTGATCAGCCTTTTGTGCCCGACCAACAACTTGCTATTGTTATAAACTAAACTTAATTACAAACAATTTTTTATTGAGTTTCCTGCATTTTTAATATTTTCTACAGTAGTCTTACTGCACAATATTCAAGTTAAATAGCATAGGGGCATTGGCTATTTAAATTAATTTCATTAAATTTTGCTGTATTTAATTAAAATAAAAATGTTTCTTCTATAGTGCAAATGTATTGTTTCTATATGAAATCATTGTTATAACAGCTAACAAATACTCTTCTTCTTTATTGATTTACCTAACAAGTCTGGATTTAAATTTAAACAGTTTCTTTTTATCTTTTGATACTTTAACATCAGAATGTTAAAAAATTCAGTTATCACTAATAAAATAGGCTTGAATTGTGCATTTTGTTAAACATTCTATATTTTTAAAATATTTGTGTTTAGATTTCAGATGACAACAAAAAAAGTCCGTAGAAACCCTGAATTGCCAGTGCCAGAGATGAATGAGGAACGAAGAAAGGAATTGACTGCTCGCACCGTCTATGCCAAGGGATTTCCAAAAGATGCTCTTCTGGATGATATACTAAAATTCCTAAAACAATTTGAAGAAGTTGAGAATGTTATCATGAGAAAATATCAAGACAGGCAGACTAAAAATAAGATTTTCAAAGGATCTATTTTCATTACCTTCAAGACTAAAGAGCATGTATGTTAACTTGATTTTTAGGCTATCTATACATGATTATGGATTTGGTTAGAAGGATTAGAAGGTGATTTTTCCTTTCCTTCTGTGCATCCTGCACCTGCACATCCTGGAAAGGAAAAATCCATTTGCTTGGTACTAACATTATGACGTAATTTACATAACAAATTTGGCTGCCAAGTACAACAAGGTCAAATAATTCTGGCCAATTTTAATTTTTTGTACAAAATACATTTTTTTTTCAGGCTACTAAATTAATTGAGACTAAGGGCTTAAAGTATAATGACACAGAGTTATTAATACTTTGGCAAGATAATTATTTAAAGCAGAAACAAGAAGAGTATGCTGCTCATAAGGAAAAGAAACAGAAAAAAACACAAAAAGGCGAGGTGTGTATTATTTTAATATAAAAATGTATTGCTGTTAATCTCCTAGGAACACTAGATAGTAGAATAAAAATAAAAGTAGTGAAGCAATCTTCTTATTTTTTAACACTATGAAACTGTGGAATTTCTTTGAAAATTGGGTCAAATTGAAATTATAATTGAATTTTGTCCTGTGTCAAAGACTTAGAAACTGAGTGAAATAAATTTGTTCCTAGAACTAAGTAGCTGCAATTCATTCACATAAAATAAAATTGTATATGTAGTGAGTCAAATTCATCGGTTTAATTATAGTAATAGTTATAAATCACTTTTCATATGTCTATGAAATGTCTTTCGTCATAGTCGTAGAATTGTGACGGATCTGACAAATACTTAACTTTACAGGGCAGCCATTTCAAAATAATATATCATGTTAGTTTTTGTCATAACTATTTTAATTCATATTTTGTTAATATGAAAATTGGTATACATACAAACAAAAGGGTTTGTTTCGAACAAAATAACAATAACATTACATTACACAGTTTTCTAGAAAAATCACACGTTTCTATCAAATCCGTCACATTACCGACTGATTAATGTGAAATTTAAAACACATGTATTTTTTTTATGTAGCCGTAATATTAAGTCAAGTAGTATGCAAATATGATAAAAAGTGGATTTTGGATTTTTTTCAAATCCGACATTGTTTTACGATCATGACGATTTAGTTGCTATTTTATGCTCACAGCTAATTTATCATCTATATATATTTTACAAATTTCCTGTTAGCCTCAAGTTCTTGAATGTCAGACCAATATGTAAAAGTATAAAACCTACTTTAATATATATTTTTTTTTATTTTAGGAGAAGGGTGAAAAGGATGATTTCAAACTACCCACTGGCACAGTATTGTTCTTTAATGAGGGTAGTGACAACCTCACTCGAGAGAAAATAAAGGATGCACTGACGTCACTAGGTAATTTTATATTTGTGGAAAAATTCATAATATTTTTACCTACTGAAACTTATATCGAACCTAGTCGAAAATATATGGAAAAAACTGCCAAAACGATTTTAATCCAGTGTTTTGCAATTTCTGCAAAAGCAAGAGTTTTCGTGGACGTTGATTGCCAAAATATAATATATATATATGCGATTTTGATAAATGGCATATTAAAAATCTGTAATATTATGTTGCCCTTCAGTAGTGAGTCTAGAAAGATTTGCTTACTTTAAGCGACATAATTGTTTGTTTACTGATAACGATTATACATTTTCAGGTGGTGAAGTAGCATATATTGATTTTAACCAAGGCGACACACAAGGTTGGGTGCGATTCAGCAAAGAAAATGCAGCAAAGGAGCTCTCCGAAAAATTCACAGATGGAAAAGTCAAAATAGATGAGAAAGAAATCCCATTCAAGTTGCTTGAAGGTGATGAAGAAACGGCATATTTAGAAAAAACTGTTGAAGAAATGGCCAAACGTCGTAAAAACATGAAAAACTTTAAGAATAGAGGAAATAACAGGGGAAAGAACTTTAGAGGAAAGGGTAGGAAACGGAGGCAAGAGGACTACGGTGGCGGCCCTCCGTCTAAAGTTAAAGCTGATAGTTAAATATAATATTTAAACACCTTTGAAAGGTTATTTTTAGTGGTGCTTAGGGAGCGTTCAAGTATTACGTAACGAATTTTGGAAGGGGGGTCCTTTTGAAAACGTCACGAACGTTTAACTATTGGGTACAGAAAAACGGGGGGGGGAGGAGGGGGGGGGGGGGTTGTGCGTGTCAATAATCTCCAAAAATTGTGTGACATAATACTTGAACGCTCCCTTACCTATAAGGATACTATTTGTGTACATTTTAAATTTGTAATTTAAAATATAACACTTTCTTCGACATTAAAGTAAAGTTTAACTTCCTATGTTATATCTTTAATAGAATAGGTTTGTATTACTATTAAACTCGTACTTGCGTTACCGCGATTTCTGAAGTACTTAAATATTTCACTCGCGTCGCTATCGCCGATATGTGATTAGCATTGCTAATAAATACTATTAGCATTTAAAAAATAGTAATTGAACTTAATATCAAATCAAAACCCAAAATTCATTCACATATTTGAGTCGAATTCAGGTTAAAAACATAGATCTTTTAACTATTATTGTATCTTGCTAGCCAAATATAACATTTTTTAATCCATGTAAAATACTTATATTTTCTGTAATAATAAAGTTTTGTAAAAATTAATAAGTGAGTTAATTTTTCTTCACTGTGGATTATAAGTTAAACTCTAGGATACCTTTGTTAAGTAATCCCAAGAGATTTTATGAAAACCTTATATTATAACTTACCCTTAAAATAAATCTGGGGCCTACCATGAGCTCTTATTGCCAGCCCATTGATAACCTACACCTGAGATGCATCGTTTATTCATACCATGTCGTTGAAGAAATCCTTACCAAAAATTCGCAAATAATTGCGACGACAAATCGACCATTTTTTTAGATCTACAATGCCGATACGCTTTCAAAGGAATAAGGTAAATATTTGTGTGATAGTATAAACCCTTAACTTGGCAGACGTTTTTTTTTAATATCAAAATAATATTCATAGCACTTAACCGTAATGCAAGGTGTCTAGAAAAAGTACTATAAACAAAATTCATGAGGGTAGTTTAAAAAAATCCTACCTACATTGCCAAGAATATTGATAAATATATTACGCTAACAATGTATCTCAACAGATACATTGCCAAATTATCTATTACTTGATTATATAATTATTTATATTAAAATAAATATAAAAACCACTTTAATAATCAGTAGTTTGTATCATTTATTTAATGACGAAGATAGAACTTCAATTAAATAAAAATATTTTATGCGGTTTTCACTTTATACAAAGTAACCCACCTGCTCGTTTGCGTCTTCTTTGATAAAATTAATAAAAAGTGCGTGCGTACAAAGTACACATGTGAGAAGTGAAACTTCTTTGGCAAACTAATTTTTAACTCTTGTTCATATTTATACAAATCTAAAACTTTAGATTTCCGAGACTTAGAGGGAGGGAAAAAGGAAGATATATTAGGAATTTAATTGCCATTAAAATATTAAGTGTCGAAAATTAATACAAAATATAACAAATTTAATTTTTTAAATTTATTTCTTCGTTAATAAAAACACGTGGCATTTTAATTTACAATTCGTCATTTGAGATTTCAATAAATTATTTTGCATAAAATATAAAATACTAAGATTGAATAAAATCTCTTTACGAAATTTCAAAATAGAATTTCTGTAAGGTAATTCTATTTTCCCTTCTCACTCTCCCTCAATCGCTCTCTCCCTTTCGACAAAAACATTCATATCTTCGTGACGTTCAGTAAAAATTTTTGTATAATCTCATTCGGTAATATTCTAATTATGAAATGAAATACAGACTTTTATTGGCATATTTTATTTACATACATCTTTAAGAAAATTAAAACATTATTCCCTAACAAAACAATGCTTCAAAACAATTTTTTTAATATTAAAGTACATACAATGTGTCTCGACCAAGGAGGTTTCAATTCAATCTAAGTATAGTAGACCGAGGCGAATCGGATCAAAATAAGAAACCTGTTGATAATTCAAATATCACATTCACATAGAACGCACTCACCCGGCATTTTGTGTCTCTCCATTTACTGAGTACCTCCCGACATAAGCAAGGTGTTTATATTAAAGAAACAATTTGCTTTTAAGTATAATCTTAGAGGTTAACGTCTAAAATATTTATTTCAAAAGTCTTAATGCAAACATGACATACACGAAGAGATAATGCAAATATTAAAATTACAAAAACTAAACAAAAATCGCTGTGGGCCAATGCAAAAAAAAATTAAACGTAATATGAACAATAAAAATTAATCACTAGTTACATACATACAATATATATATATATATACATTTAAGCATACATTTAAATTTTAAAGATATTCCTCTAATAACAGTATTTATAATATATTACAAATTAGAAATAACAATATAATATAAATACACTGAATGTCATACAAACTAAAATAATAACATTGAAAAAAAAAACTAACCTTAAAATATAATGACTAAAATAATATAGGTACATGGAAAAAAAACTAACCTTAACATAAACAGCTAAAATATATTATTAAAAGGAGTCCCTTTAGGCAAGGTTCCGAAGATACTGGCAGCGTTCCCCCTTTGAATCGCTAGACTAATTCTTTGTCCGAGGTAGCTGCCAGATCTTCGGTCTCCTGTGATGTCGACTAACCTTTTTGATATGTCATTAAAAAGCCTTAAAGCGCTAGGACCCCACGGACCAAGGGTCTCGACACCGAATGGGCCAAAATCATAATTAGTCTTAATTATGGGGCTAATCGGATCATATCCTTAGGGGCGAATTGGATGATACTTTTAAACTGATTTATTACATGTTTGAGGTTATTGATTCATATTTATTTCATGACCGCTGGAGAATGGTCTCAAGAAAAAATGAAAGAGGCTGTAAATAAAGTCCAGAAGAAGAAATAATGACCTTACGTAAAACTGCTAAGATTTTTTCAGTACCGTTCACGAGCTTACAGAAAAAAGGGCCATATATATGTGAATTATGTGCCAATAATTAAAATTGATCTTATTATTATATATTTTTACTGATTCCAAAGTTGTTTAACACTATACCTTAAAATTTTGTTATATGTCGTATACGATCCGATTCACCCCGAAAGTTGGAGCGATTCGGATATTTTCCTTTTTTTTAGTTTTTAATAGCTAATTGAGAAAATATATGTATGATTTAAGTTTTCAGATGTTTATTTCATAGCTAATTGTTACTTCTTACGATTTTATCAATAAAAATAACATTATATAACACTTTAGTATGATTTTCTCAACCTCAAAGAAAAAGTGATCCGATTCGCCTCGGTCTACCCTACACAAATTATTTGTGGTGAGCGCGCTGGTTCCGAGCCAAAAGACCAATTTGGCGCTATTTCGTACATACGAATTTGAGTAATATTTTGTTGGATAAAACTTTAGTAGCAAAAATGTCAAGCAACGCCGACGAGACCGATGAAAATTTAACTCCATCTGACATTCTTGAAACAGCTACGAAACTGACGAACAGTCTTTTGCCAGAAAAATCAAGAAAAGCGTACGACAAATGTTACCAAGATTTTATGATTTGAAAACCTATAGCCATGGGATTAAATAAAGTAGTGTATGCAACTGCATATAATTAGGTATTAAAACACTCGTGTAATCTTATTTTGAAAAAACCACGCTCATGTTTTAATACCCTCTATTATGTGACAGTTGCATAAACTACTATACCCTCATGCGCCTAAAGAAGTTTCACTTCAAAAAGACTTCTGCGTGTATTAAAGACTGGCCAGCTCATTTTCCTAGATTATATAGAAATGCTTTACAGCAATCACAGTCAAAACAAATGTAATATTCTAGATGGACTGTAGGTATGCTGTCTTTAGGTACGCTGGGACAGCGTAATCAATTTTTTATAAAATCCTTTAATTGTTATTGATAATGTTTATCTTAATTAATTAAAATGATATCGGCTGTACTATAAAACGGTTAATCTAACAATAATACGCATAATACGATTTCATTTGGTAAGTTATAGTATAATAAACATATATAATTAAAAAAAAAACTGTTTTGCACTCGTTTCAGTGATATTATTATCATAAAATTCTAGACACCTAGTACGTTTAATAATAAGTATTTCCTTTGATAATTATTCATATACCAAGGCGCCAACAGAACTTGACTTCTTGCAATTTTTTTTAAAAGTTCTTCATTTTGTTATTGATATAATTTCGAGAACAAAATCAACAATTTATCACTTGTTTTCAAGGGAGTTTTCATTTCACAATCAATTCTATCAACTAATCAGTCATAGTACTATTAATATAATATATGTAAGTATATATATATGTATAATTTTGTCTCGCAGGTGTATCATTAATCATGAAATTCGTCGTTTTTGCGTGCGCACTGCTTGTGGCCGGCGCCACAGCTCTTCCACAAAAGATAAATGAAGTTGGTGAGTGCTTTTTATTATTACTTAAACATTATAAACTAACTAAGAGTACAATAGGGGGTTGAAGGGGTTTATTGACTGTAGATTTCAAACTAAGGCTTAGCTGATGAAATGAGAATAAAAATGCTTGCTTCTCATAATATTATTTTAAAACACTGGTAAAAAAAAGTTTCATATTTACTAACCTTATTTTGAGATAGTAATCGTAAAAAATAATATCAATATAATACTAGTACAGTCAAAACCGTTTATAACGACATTGAAGGGACCGTATAGTTGCCGACGTTATATCCGATAGTCGTTATAAGCAATGTCATATACACAAGTACAGTACATATGTATGTACATAGTTATATTATCATACTTATCTATCTATAGGTAGGTATGGGTTATAATATGGTATGTTATTATAATATGTAAAGGAGTCAAAAAAGAAACAAAACTTTTAAATCAAACTGTTACTCACGCAGTCAATTAGCGAACTAAACATGTGTAAAGTATGCAAGGTCAAATGGCCGGGAAGAGGTTCGGATGAGGC